AGTATGTCCTTTAAATTCCCTAGTCTGGCTCATTAGTGCTAACAGGTCACAAGAAAACTTTTTGGTTTTTGGTGGGATCAGAGTTTGAACTCAGGGCTTCTAGCTTGTAAAACATGCTCTACTGCTTGAGCCACACACACCTCTAGTCCATTTTGCTATGGTTATTTTTTAGAGGAAGTCATGGGGGCCTGGGTACAGTAAACATTTTTAAGATTATATTGCTTTCAGAAAATTTTTAAAGTTAGGTTCTAATCAAGTATTTTAATTTATTCTTACCTTTTCTATCAGAAAATGTTGGTCTTGTTCCCAAATAAAACTACCAATTCTTCTTCTTATCTCTGTGGTGAGAAAAACAAATCCAATACTTTTTTTTAACAAGTATGGGCTTTTGCATGACATCTGAAATTTCTAGGCCTGTCTTATTCCACTTGAATCAAATTTACCTCTGAAAGTCTGGAGATGTGGCTCAAGAGATAAAGCACCTGCTTTGCAAGCATGAAGTCCTGAGTTCAAACCCCAGTACCACCAAAAAAAAACCTAAACTAAAACCAGGAAAAAAAAAACCCTAACACACTTGCTAAAAACACAAACTTCTACTGAAATAGACACTGAGTAGGAGCTCAAGAATTTGTATTTCTAACAAACTCCCAGTTATTCCAATATATTATAAGATCATAGTACATTTTTCTATTATTTTTAGTTTTTTGTTTGCTTGTTTTTATTTTATTTTTTTTATTTTGGCAGTAATGGAGCGTGAACTCAGGAAGCCTTGTACTTGCCATGCCTCCAGCCCTAGGCGAAATATTAATGAAGAGGAAAATTATCTAGTCACAATAACAATTATAAAACTGATGAATTTATAAAGCAGAGGTTCTCAAGAATTAATTTCTTTGCTAAAAAGAAGATAAATATGTCAAATGACTCTCATCATTCTAACTTCAGATCTCAAGTTTCCACACTAGCCCACTAGAAGACAAAATGGATAGCATTACTTTAGACCTTTGCTGTCCAATATGGTAGCAATTAGCTAAGTATAGGAACTGAGCACTTTAAAAGGATGACTAGCCAGGCAGTGGTGGCTCACACCTGTAATCCTAGCTACTCAGGAGGCAGAGGTCAGGAGGATCATGGTTTGAGGTCAGCCCAGGAAAATAGAGAAACCCTATCTAGAAAAAAACTCATCACAAAAAAAAGGCTGGTGAAGCAGCTCAAGGTATAGGCCCTGAGTTCAAACCCCAGTACCACAAAAAAAAAAAAAAAAAGATGGCTAGTACAAAATGGATGTACTTTTAAGTGTAAAATAAACACTGGATTTTGAATATTTAGTATCAAAAAAGGATATAAAATATCTCAATTTCATAGATTATACATTGAAATGATAACAATTTGGATATATTAGATTAAAATGTGTTCTTAAACTTAATTTTGCCTATTTTTTGGTGGTATGTGAGTTTGAACTCAGGGACTCACTCTTCTTAGGCAAGCACTCTACCACTTGAGCCACTTCACCAGCCCTACACTTTATTTTTAAAAGGAGCATGTTTCAGTTGGGCACTGGTGGCTCATGTCTGTAATCTCAGCCACTTGGGAGGCTAATATTGGGAGGATTACAGTTCAAGACCAGCCAGGGAAAGTAGTTCTCCAAAACAGAGTAAAAAGGGCCAGATGGGATGTGTGGCTCAAGTGGTGGAACCCCTGTTTTGCAAGCATGAAGCCCAGCGTTTAAACTATAGTCTAACCCAAAAAAAGAAAAACAAAGAAAGGAATATGCTTCATTTTAAAGTTGTTTTTTTTTTTTCAAAATTTAAGCTGGAAGCCTATAGTTCAATTCTGTAATCCTAGCTCCTTGAGAAGCTGAGATTGGGAGGATCATGATTCAAGGCCAGCCAGGCAAAACAAGGAAACTCCATCTAAATGGAAAAAAGCTGGGTGTGGTGGCATGCCTATCATCTCAGGAACAACAGTGGGAAGTGTAAACCAAGAGGATCACAAAAAGCAAGACTTTATCTCCAAAATAACCACAGTAAAAAAGGCCAGTACCACCAAAAACTTTGTTTAAATACATGTTAATATAAGATGCTACATTCAAAGTGATCATTTAAAATCAGATCAGGATATATCCAAAGGAATGTGACACAGGTTACTCCAAAGGCACCTGCACACTCATGTTTATTGCAGCACTATTCACAATAGCCAAGTTATGGAAACAACCAAGATGCCCCACTACTGACAAATGGATCAAGAAAATGTGGTATTTATACACAATGGAATTTTACTCAGCCATGAAGAAAAACGAAATCTTATCACTTGCAAGAAAATAGATGGAACTGGAAAACATCATTCTGATCGAGATTAGCCAGACTCAGAAGGCCAAAAATCTTATGTTCTCCCTCACATGTGGTCTTTAGATCTAGGGCAAATACAGCAATGTTGTAAGACTTGGGTTACATGACAAGGGGAAAACCTATACAGGAGGTATGGGGTTAGATAGAAAACCCAAAACATGAAAGCATTTGATGTCCCCACTCCAGAGGAATTAATACAGAAACCTTACAGCAACAGAGGTCAATACGAGAAAGGGATCAGGAACCAGTGTAAAGATCAGTTAGAGATGAATCAACCTGGGTTGTAACACATTTGTACATGAAAGCAATGCTAAGAATCTCTCTGTATAGCTGTCCTTATCTCAACTAGCAAAAATGCTATGTCTTTCTTATTATTGCTTATTTCTACTTCTCAACAGAACTGGAGAAAAGCACAGACAGGTTCTGCCTGGAAGGGAAGGAGGAGAAAGGGAGAGAGTGGGTGTGGGGGCAGAAGGGAGAAATGACCCAAACAATGTATGCACATGTGAATAAATGAATAATAAAAAATAAAATAAAACCAGATCAGATAGTTATTCTACAATATAAACTTACTTATTTTTGCAGTACTGGGGCCTGAACTCAGGGCCTTCACCTTGAGCCACTCCACCAGCTCTATTTTTGTGAAGGGTTTTTCATGAGCCATTAGCACCCAGATAAATAATTTATTTCCTTGACTAAAAATATTTTCCGTCTCTATCTTTTTAAAAACTTTTTTAATCTACTTGTTTATTTTGTTGGTAGTACTGGGGTTTGAACCCAGAGTGTCATGCTTGCTAGGCAGGCGCTCTACCACTTGAGCCACTCCGCCAGCCCACTATAAACTTCTTGAAGGTGGGTATTCACAAATTGGCACAAATGTATTTTGAATAGAGTTGAGACCAGACTGTATGTATCCAAAAAAAAGTATTGAATAAATTAATTTTCTCATCTAGTCATTAATTTGTATAACCTCTTAAAATAATTTAATAAGTTATAACTAAGTTCTGCTGATACATCAATTATGGAAGAAACCAATCTTATTATCAGTCACTACACTACAATCAATATATTACCTCATTTTATCCTAAAAACAACTTGGAAGACACTTAATAACTCACTAAAGATTACAAAACATAACAAGTATTGGATCCTAGCTGGATAAGATTACATCTGTCTTATTCACCATTAAATTCCTAGCATCTAGATTAGAACCTGGCATACAGAAAGAGTATAATGAATGTGTGAATGAATAAACAAAGCCAGGATAGACACTCAAGGTAATCTGACCCAAAGTCCTTGCTTTATCAAATTAAGCAAAACTTAAATTCTGGTTGAGAACAAAAGTTTGTAATAAAATTGGATTTGGATATCTAACAAGGATTAGCTGAATCTGGCAAACTGAGATTGGTTGGTCGATCTTTACTAACCGTTTTGCAGACAAGCAGGAGGAAGAATGAAATGACCTAAAGCCACAGAGCTTTTTATTTCAGCATTGGCTACTGTAGAGAGATAGCAGGCATGAAAAACTGTAGCATTATCTTCTATGTAATCAAGGCTCTGATAGATCCTAGGAGAAAAAACAGAAATCTTTTAGATTATGAAGTAAACAAGAGTGCATTCAACCTTTCAAAAGGAAGAATAAATAACTGGAAGTAGGGGACGGTTACATAATACACTTTTTGTTTTTTACACTTTTTGTTTTTTGCAGTACTAGGGCTTGAACTCAGTGTCTTCATTTTGAGCCACTACACCAATCTCACAAAAGTGATGGTGTTTTTTGAGATAAGGTCTTGTGAACTATTTGCCCAGGCTGGTTTCAAACTGCAATCCTCCTGATCTCTACCTCCTGATAGCTAGGATTACAGACGTGAGCCACTGGTGCCCAGCAAGAATAAATTTATGGTACTTTTTTTTTTTGCAGTGCTGGGGATGCACTGGGGATGTTCAGGGCCTGAACATGATAGGCAAGCATTCTACCACTGAGCTACAAACCCAACTCAAGAATAAAAACTTTTGCCATAAGACATTCCTTAGTTCAGGAGTTTAAATCTAAAAATATCTGAGTTTCAGAGAGTTGGCAAATGATTATATGAATTTGAAAACTTGACCTAAAACACCAGTTAGCTGGACATCATCATAGATTGAAAACCAGCAGCCTATGAGTTATACTCACAGTCACTGTCATTAAGAGAGATCAATTAATTCTGAAGTAGGGAGTGGGTATACAACCAGGGATGCATTCACATACAGAAAACATCACTTCTAGACCTTTAAAAAAAAGTGAAAGGAATATGAATCTAGAAGAATAAAACATGCTGAAATCATTCTAAGAAGGGGTAGGGGTAGAGGGAGAACAATAGAGGAGGTAAATGCAATTAAGATATATTTTAAACACATATGTATATATCACATGTATCCCCATGTACAGCTATTATATGCTAATAAAATCATTTAAAAAATAAAGAAGCAAAGAGAACACTTAAAAAACAAACAAAAAGTTGAGATCGGAGAAAAAGCCATACATGAAGGTACAATAATCACAGTTCAAGTTCACTGAACTATGGGAGGCATGAGAAAAACGGGAAAATGAATCTTGGCTAGGCTCTAGCCAAGATCTAAATCAGGAGGGGAGAGAGATAGATAGAGTGATGATGGGCCATGAGCAGATCTGTTTTTAACATAATCTGAAGAGGAGGGTGAAGGGAAATGGCAGTGGGCAGATTCCAGGCAGAGCAATCTCTTAGAAAGTTACCATGACAATCTGAGCAGAGGGTAATTGTTAAGGTTCAACAATTAGCCTGACAGGTGGCTCACACCTGTAGTCCTCAACACCTGCGTGTTTCCAAGCTAACTCTATCACTCAAGAGGCACAGGAAGAAGGATCAGTCCTGTAGCCGGACAGGGCAAAAATACAAGATCCTAACTCAATAATAACCAACACAAAAAGGGATGGGGGCATGACTCAAGTGGTAGAGCGTTTGCCTAGCAAGTGGGAGACACTGAGTTCAAACCCCAGTGCTGGCAACACATAAACACATTAATTAATAAAATAGCAACAATTATGGAGTCCTGATCCATGGTATCTGGCCACCGACAGATTCATGAGAGGTAGAGTTTGATATTGAAAAGATGCTGTGAAGCTGGGCTTGGTGCACGGTGATCCCAGCATCGGGGATGCAGAAGCAGGTGGATGGTGAGTTCCAGGCCAGCCTGGGCTGAACAGCAAGACCCTGTCTCAGAGAAAACAAAAAGCAAACAAGGTGTTAGGAAGAGTTGAGGTGTGGGGGGCACAGGACTTGCTCAGGCATGGGGTGATCAGATTTGGGTTGGACATACTGAGTAGCAGAGGCCTACAAGGATCCGAGAGGAAAGACAGCGGGAAACACCTGCTGGGGTGGGAGGACCAGGTAGATGGCCAGGTCACTGCAGCAGAAAGGGAAGGTGAAAGGTGATCTATCCCGGCCCCATCTAGACCTGAAAACCTGCATGTCTCCAGTCTAACCCTATCCTATCACTATTTTTTTTTTTTTTAATAAGCGGACTGCAACTTCCATCCCTGATTCTGGGCGTGTGTGACCCTTGAGGCTCTGCAGGTGGCCCTTGGGTACCTCAGCGTGTCAGGGTGCGAGGCGTCACAGCTGAACAAGAAGTCCGCGGCCCGCGAATCGCTGATCGTCCCGCCTTCCGCCACTGTGGAGGCAAAAGAGCACAGGGTGGCCCGGCAGCACCCTGGGGCGGCAGCACCCGAGGGAAGAGGGGTGCTCCCCTCCCCGGATCATGCACCCTTTCTGCCGAGCCTCGTACCCCAGAACCGTCTCAAGTCCTGGCCGACGCTACCACAGAACCAGCCCCGCTGCCCTCGAAACATGGCGCCGCCTAGCGAGGACGCGAGGACGTCCTGGTGGGGGGGAAGAGCCTGGAGCTGAGCCGGATCAGTGATTGGTCCCAGGTCCGAGGCCGAGCTCGATGATTGGCTCCCAAGAGGAAAAGGCGGGAAAAGCCTCAGCCAAGGGGGAAGAGGATCGCAGAGGAGGAGGAAGGGGGCTTGAGCTAGGGGGTTTTCACCACAGGCATGGGAGCAAGCTTTGTAGCATCAAGTAATAAAGTGAAACTTTATCATTTGATCTACAAATGGTTCTCTTTGAATCACCAGAAAATGTAGACTTAAAAAAAAACCACGATGACATTACTAGACTTTAAAACAGTCATTTAATATGGTCAAATACCACCAGTGTTCAGATTGCCCATTTTCTGAAAATATCATGACCTTCTTTTACAGCTAACCTTCACCGCACCCCTTACATCATTTTTCTATTTTCTGGGCTCCCTTTAATCCAAACTTTCTGTAACACTGTAGTTTTTTTTTTTTTTTTTAATGTCTGCGGGCTCTGTAGTCATGGTTCTTTTTTCATTTCTCATGCGGGTTGTTTGTGCCTCCTCTCGGTTTCGTAGTCTCATCAGAGGTTGGTCAATTTTATTAGCCTTGCATGCTTTTCTCACATTATAGGTTTTTCTTTTTGTGTCAGTTTCAGCGTTATATAATTTCCATCCGTTCTTGGTTTTAAATTGATGTGCTTTTTCTACTTTCTTAAAATAGTGAGATGATCATCTGCCTCTGGAAGGTTTAAAGACAGTTCTATTTTATAAAAATGGTAATATTCTATTTTTTTTGTGGTACTGGAATTTGAACTCAAGGCTTCTACAGGAGCTCTACCACTTGAGCCACTCCACCAGACCTTTTTTGTGTTGGGTTTTTTCCAAGACATGATCTTGAGAACTATTTGCCAGGGGCTGGCTGGCTTTAAACCATGGTCCTCCTGATCTCTGCCTCCTGAATAGCTAGGATTACAGGTGTGGACCACGTGCCTGGCATGGGAAGGATTTTTTTTTAGAAGTGAGACACAGCAAACATTAACCATGACAGAAAAGGTGGGTTTTTTTGTTTTTTGGGTTTTTTTTTTTTTTTTTTTTTGCAGTACTGGACTTTGAACTCAGGGCCTTGTACTTGCTACACAGGTGCGCTACCATTTGAGCCATGCCTCCAGCCAGGAAAGATAAATTTGATTATATTAAACTTTTCTTCATCAAAGTTCTATAATTAAATTCATGAGTCACGAAGATGCCTGTAGCACGGATAACCAACAAAGGGTTGGTATCCAGAATATATAATTAACCCTATGAATCAATGAAAAAGTCAAACAACCCAATAGAAAAATATGCAAACACCTGAATATGTTTTTACAAAAAACAAAATACAGCCGAGAATGGCAGTGCAGGCATGTAATCCTAGCTACTCAGGAGGCAGAGCCAAGAGAATCAGGAGTTGGAGACCAACCCCAGGGAAATTTAGGGAGACAAGACCCTATCTCAAAAAAAAAAAAAAGGCTGAGGGTGTGGCTTATGTGGTAGAGTGCTTGCCTAACATTTCTAAGGTCCTGTGTTCAATACCCAGGAAAAAAAAAATTAAAAACCCACCAATGACTAAATTAAAAACTTCACCAATGAAGAGATGGCTTAACCACAATGACCGGGAAATGCTAACTAAAACTGCAATGAGATACTAGTATGTCCTCACCTTATCAGTAAAAATTGAATTGGCAAAGATAGAGTCATAGCATTCCCACTGCTAGTGAGAATGTAAACCTGCATGATCAATTTGACCAAGAATTCAGTATTGCTTATAAGATGTATATATCCTAGCTGGGTGCTGGTGGCTCATGCCTGTAATCCTAGCTACTTGGGAGGCTGAGATTGGGAGGATCGCAGTTTAAGGTCAGCCTGGCAAAGAGTTCGCTAGACCCCATCTCCAAAATAACCAGAGCAAAATGGACTGGAGGTGTGGCTCAAGTGATAGAGCACCTGCTTTGCAAGTGTGAAACCCTGAGTTCAAGCTCCAATCTGACCAAAACAAGCAAACAAAAGATGTGTGTATCCCACGACCCAGCCTTGGCCAGGTATATACCTAGATAAACTATTGCTCCCTTGTAATATACACATATTCATATCCAAGAATGTCTGTGGCAACTTTGGTGCCAAAGTAGCAGTAACAAAAGGAAAAAATGGAATCAGAACAGTAGACTGGGTATTAAAATTACTTTTATTTTTATACAGCAGTCCCCCTTATCTGTAGAGGGATATTTTCCAGCATCTCAATTGGATGTCAGAAACCAAGGTCAGTCCTGAACTCCCTACATGTTTTTTTTTTTCCTGTACATACATGAGTATTGCTAAAGTAGGCACAATAAGCTATTAATGACTAATAATCAAATAAAACAATTGTAAGGATATACTGTAATAAAAGTTGTATAAATATGTTTTCTGTCTCTCAACTGCCTTGAGGCAGAAAGTATATGTTGCAGACACACTGCTCTATGGCAGGTGGAATAGAGCAGGAGGGCATAGGATTTCATCAGAAATCCTACTACTCAGAACTGCAATTTTTTTGTAGTGCTTTGTCTCAAACACAAGGCCTCTCACATTCCAGATAGGCTTTCTACCACTAAAATACATCCCCAGCCTTCAAAATTGAGAGATTAAATTTTACGAATTGTTGATGTTTGGAATTTTTCCATTAATATTTTCAGACCACAGTTGACCATAGGTGACTGAAAGCATGGATAAAAGAATGACCACTTACATTGTAATTTTAAATTTTGAAAAAGCCAAGGAAGCCAGATGATGCTGGCTCACACTTAAAATCCTAGTTACTTGGGAGACTGAGATCAGGAGGATCAGGATTTGAGCCCAGCCTGAAGAAATAGTTCATGAGACCCCCATCTCCAAAATGACCAGAACAAAATGGACTGAGGTGTGGCTCAAGCACTAAGAGTGCCTGTTTTGCAATAGTGAAGCCCTGAGTTAAAACCCCAGGCCCACCAAAAAGAGGGGAAAAAAAAAAGCAAGCATAGATATACAGTATGATTCCATTTATTTTCAAGTTCAAAAAAAAAGAGGCAAAATTTAAAAAAAATTAGAGATACATGCATATTTAATATAGAAAAAATAAATAGTATATTTGTTGGAAAAACATATCTATGAAGTATTTTTAAAAAGATAGATATAAACCATATAATACTGAATACCTAAGGGCTGAGACAGGCACAGAGCAGCCTTCAAAGGTTTTGTTCCTGTTCTCTTTCCAAAGCAAGGTGGTCAGTCAATGAGTATGGCTTTTGTATTACTCTCTTAAAAACACTGTACATAAACATTACCAACACTCATTACTATATATTTTATAATGTAATTTTTAAAGTAATTAAGAAAGTATGTCAATTCAGGAGGATGTTTTTAAGTAGTTAAATATTTGAACTATCATTACCTATCTGAAAATTAATTTATCTCTTTAACCAGAAATACCTGATAATCTAATTTTACTGATTTTTTTCTTCTATTATCTAAGATATGTTATACAAATGTACAATGACATGCCACTGCTATTCTAAAAGTCCCTTTATTTCAAGAAAAGTGCAAGGCATTAATTTTCACCTCAGTGAATCCTAACACATTGATTGGAACCTATTTTGCACTCTGCATCATACAAGATGTTATTATTGTCATCTCTTATAGCCCAAGATACAATAATGTATAAGATAGCCCCAATCAAGCTTCTTGTGAATCCCATTCTGTTTTTAGCAGGGAAGTCCCATACTGATGGGTTTTTTGTTGCTGTTGTTTTGGGGTTTTTTAGCAGGACTGGGGTTTGAATTCAGGGCCTCATGTTTGCTAGGCAGGCGCTGTACTAGTTGAACCACTCTGCCAGCCCTCTTTTGTGTTGGTTATTTTCAAGATCGGGTCTCATGAAATGCTTGCCCAAGCTGGCCTTGAACCATAGTCCTCCTGATCTCTGCCTCCCAAGTAGCTGGGATTATAGACATGAGCCACTGGCACCTGGCCATGTTGATGTTTTGTAACTTATATACATTAGAAGGATTTATGCCTTTTAGGTATATTCTATGTAGAAAGATTGTTCAAATTATTCAGTACAGACTGGCCAATTATCTAGGACAACTGTGGGAAAATACTTTTGGGTCATCTTATGTTAAGACAAATACTGGAAGGCTAAGATCGTATATGAGAGAAGTATTAACTCAAATACCTACAAATAGTGGAAAATATGTGTACACCTGTGGTCTGTCATTCCCCTTGTCATCTGAATAAAACATTTTTTTTTCTTTTCCTTTTTCTAAAAAAGTTTTCTGTTGATCTAATTAATATCTTATAAAATTTGTCCATTGTAAGTATAGTTTGTTAATTTGTAGTTTATATTATTATGCAACCATTACCATACAAACATTAATTTTAAGATGTTATTTTCCAAATTTAGATTAGAATTTTTTTCATACCTACTCATGCTTTACTATCTCCAACTTAATCTCAGTTTTCCCTTAGAATATGTGTGAATACCGGCACACATACTCTCTGAACTCTGTAGCACTTGTGGTCTATCTCCAGACAGACTTTAGATATCAGTTACCTGGAATTCTTAAGAGATAGCAACCAGGCCCTCTTCTGTCCCACAAACTCTTTGTCAGGCAACTTTCAGATTCTTTACCACACTGCCAAAAATCTTACCATTAAAAATGTTTACTTACTGAATATGGACTGTAAAAAAAGTTGTACCAATGTTCAATTTTCTGAATTTGGTAATTTAGTGCTATGATTATGTAAGAGATTATGTGGTTTGGCAAAAATAACAGTAACAGTTACGCTGTATACAAGTATATATGTATATATATATACACACACATACACACACACGGACGTGGGGGGAGTGTAGAGGAGGGAGTATAAGAAAATGAGTCACAATGTTAACAATTGATGAATCTAGATGGAAAGTATACAGATAAGCAATAATTTTATAAATTTGACTTTTTTTTTTTTTTGGCAGTACTGGGGTTTTAGACTCAAGGCCCACAGATTGCTACGCACACTGTCTTCCACTTGAGCCTTCCCCACAGTCCCTTGGTTTTTGTTTGTTTGTTTGGTTTATATTTTTAAAGTAAGGTCTTGAGGACCATGTAGTCCAAACTGTAGGTCAATTCAAACTGTAGTTTGGTCCAAACTGTAGTCCAATTCAGAATCCTCCTACTTCTGCCTCCTGAGTGCTGGCATTACAGGTGTGCCACCACCATGCCTGGCTAAAGTAAATTTTAAAGTAGCCTGTAATCATGTCCTGGCTATTCACACAAATCAGCAGTTGTGAATGTGTGCATGTTGTATATGACATCACAACATGAGTATCATCTATAGAATATGCATTATTTTTCCCATTAGGGCATAAAGGACAGCAGGCTTTTGCCCTACCCCTTCGAGAAAAAACAAAACAAAACTCTATGCTTATTGTAATTTTAGAGTGTCAATGATGTAGGTCCTAAAAAGTTTCCCCAAAACAGTCAGCTATAGAGAACAAAAAAAAAAAAAAAAAAGAAACAGGGACATTTCATCAAGAGTACTGCTGAGATTAATGATGTTAATAACTTTGGGCTTAGAAGGAAATAACCAGCTGGAGCATAAGCATATTAGAGAGCAAGATGACAAATACTGCTATTTAAATTATAGGAGGGACTGATAAGCAAGAACACAGTCTAAAGTATGTGGAAATATTTTAAAATATTTGAATATAGAAAAACAATTGCCCCTCACAGATAATCAAGAGAAAAGGACTGAGAAAGAAAAAGGGTCAGAGATTTTTAGACTACAAGTATGTTGAAGGAATTCACAAGCTTCTAAACTAGTTCTGACCATTTCCTATTTTTTTCTTTAAGTGTGTAGAGAAAATTATTTCAATGAGAGCATGAAGATCTAGAAAAGAAATTAGATTAGGCCGGGTGCTGGTGACTCACAGCGTTAATCCTAGCTACTCAGAAGGCATTGATCAGCAGGATGTGGTTCAAAGCCAGCCCTGGGCAAATAGTTCTCGAGACCCTAACTCAAAAATACCCATCATAAAAAAGGATTTGAGCAGAGTGGCTCAAGTGGAAGAGTGCCTGCCTAGCAAGTGTGAGGTCCAGAGTTCAAACCCTAGTACCACAAAAAAAAAAAAAATTAGATGAAAATTTATATCAGAAGAAAATTTAAAAACTGGTTATTAGGGTATGCCTGTAATTCAGCATTTGAGAGGCTGAAGCTGTAGAATTTTGAGTTCAAGGACTGGGCTACATAGTAAGACCCTGTCTCAAAAACTGAAAAGAGGGCTGGCAGAGTGGCTCAAGTAGTAAAGTGCTTGCCTAGCAAGTGCAAAGCCCTGAATTCAAACTCCAGTACTAAATAAAAAACTGAGAAAAAAATAAAATAGGAATAAGAGTGTCCATATGAAAAATTCATCCACTTAGAGTCATTATGCTACAAAAAGTGCTAGCATGATATTATTTCTGGGCATATTTAAAAAGGGCTCCCAAGTATTACAAACTCAATTGAAGTGTGCTCCAGTAACAACAGCATTGTGGTCACTCTCACAAGAGTGACTCCTGTGACACAGACTACCCCAGAGAAGTAGAATGTCATCTTGAAAAGCTCCAGTGAAATCTATTTAAGACGCTGAGATGGAACTCCACTTGTGAATCCTATTTTCACTATTTCAGAGTTCCCCATAAATTGGAAAGACAATCCAGTGAGACTGGTAAACTATTTCAGTACTCCTTTAATAGCACTCTGAATTTATACAATAGGGTGACTAATTATTGGGATGTAAGATGTGCAATGGTTCTTTATTCTCTCCACCATCATTAAGACAGGGACAGAAGTAGGGATAAAGTTTCTCCATGAAAATGCTACTGAAGGTATAAATGTGGGCCATGGTTTTGGCATTGTAGAAGGACACCTGCCCTCCCTCATAATCCAAGTATATGCCCACCTTATTGAGTTTATCAGTAAGTTTCACACTGCAAGAAGGCAAATCCAGTGCCTTTAGATCAGTTTGGTTCCTTAGTCTTAAAAGCAGAATCCTTGCTCAGGAGTTAGAGGACAGCTACCCTTCCGAGGAATGGATTCTTTGGCGATTCCAACTGTCCATTTTGTCTTCTTTGCTACTTCTACTTCCCAGTACCACTTTCCAGATGTGAAGCCTTTTGAGGCCAATACAGCCACACTTGAGTCAAACCTCTCTGGATCATCAGGCATTACCTGCTTAACGTCACCGTGCCACACACTGGTCCGGGCTTTGGATAGCACCAGATTTGGGTGAGCTGTTTTAGGGTCCAGAGTTAATGCAGACAGGCCTAGTTGAAAAAAAGAACAGACAGTAGGGAGTAGAAAAAGAAGGTGAATGCAAATTCCCATAGTAAAAGACAGTATTTACATAGACATTAGCTTTCCACACACAAATTCTTAGGCAAGCAATTTCTTACATACTTTTTGTTGTTTAGGTATTCATGTTACTATTTCTAGACATTTTTATATTTAGGGTAAAAATCAGGTTTTACTCAAGTAATTTATGCTTTACTAAAGGAAATAATATAAATAATGTAAATAATGTACTGATAAATATTTAAAAGTACAAATGACAAAGGGGTAAAAATTAAATAAGGTTGCCTTAGGAAATCTTTCTAAGGAGAATAAGTATTTTGGTTGTGATACAACGTACATGATAGGTATTTCAATGCTTCCAGTAAACAGAAGGAAAAAAGAGTAGGTTAAATACAATTGCTTATGTGGGGGAGAAGGTAAGAGCTTGCCTGTTAGAGACAGGTAAGAGTGAGTTTAGAGGTGGGTGATGAGACATTTTTACACTTGGTTTAACAGATAAGGAGACATTTGAGTGGTTTATGCCACTACTACTAAGAATGTGGTAAACAAACTGTGTGGTTTCCAGCCTGGAACAAGATAATAGAGAAACTGAGAGTAAGATTTTAGAAACTTTCTAGCAGTCTGACAGAGTAATTTGATGTCAGTGGACTCTAATAATTACAAAATTGGACTTGTACTTTTCTAGTGATTTTTAAGTTCACATTTCCACATAATTTATATTATATTCTGCAAAAATATCACTCCATGACAGGTTGAGATTTTAAAAATGTGTAGAAGTTTAAAAAAAGTTGATGTCATAGAAGTAGAGTAGAATAGTAATCACTATAGACTAGTATAGACTAGGGATGGTAGGGAGGAAAAGGAGTGGAGAGAGGTTGGATAATGGGTACCAAAGTACAGTTAAATAGGAGGAATGTGTCTTAGTGTTTTATAGCACAGTAAGGTAACTATAATCTACCTCTTTTTTGCAGTACTGCTGATAGAATCCAGGGTACTACACATGCTAGCAAGCACTCTACCACTGAGTTACATCCCAGTCCTTATTATGTATTTCCAAATAATGAGAAGAAAAGAGTTTTAAGGTTTCTAACACGTAGAAGTGATACATGTGTGAGGAGATGGAAATGCTAATTACCCTGATTTGATCATTATACATTGTATACATGTATTGGGTAATATTGTGCCCCATAATTGATATCATGTCAATTGAAAAATTTTAAATTACCAGGCACAGTAACACAATGCCTACAATCCTAGCTACTTGGGTTCATAAGGCTGAGGCAGAAGGATCACAAGCTAGTAGTCATTTTGAACAACATAGCAAGACATGGTCTAAAAAAAAATTGGGGAGGCTGGGGCATGGCTCTAGTAGTAGAGTACCTCAGTCCAGACCCCAGTATCACCAAAAAAAGGCTTTTTTTTTTTCTTAAGAAAAATGGAAGCAGGCCAGTAAAAATATGACACAATACTAGGTATGAGATAATTGGATTTTGTTATGAAATTTTATAAAGAAAACATAATAATTATGTGTTCACATCATGAGCACATATACATTTCCAGTCCATTTTTTACTCTGGTTATTTTGGAGACAGGGTCTTATGAACTATTTGCTTAAGTTGGCCTTGAACTTTAAAACTTCTGATCTCAGCCTCCCCAGTCATTAGGATTATAGGTGTGAGCCAGCAGCAAACGTTCCTTGGTTATTTTTGAGGTAGGGTCTCACTTTACGCCCAAGCCAACCTGAATTGTGATCCTATTTGTGCTTCCCTACCTAGCTGAGATGACAGGCATGCACTATCACATCCAGCTTGAGCCACCATGCCTGGCCACAAACTCAATAAAATTTTAATGATAGAATCTCTCATAAGTATCATAGGTAGGGAAAGGGGTATTCATTGTAAAGTTCTTTAAACTTTTCTGTGTGTTTGGAAATTTCCACAATAAAATGTAGAGAGAAGGGTCATTTTCTGTGGCCATTCTATTAAAATAGAACATTCACCTATCCTTCACTGTTTATACACTTATTTACAAAAGTACTTATGATATATATATTAGATTTACCACCTCCATCTTTCTCTTTTATCTCTTCTCCCCTCTTCTTAAAATAGTTTCAACAGGTCTAATTGTTCTATTTTCATACATGAATACATAGTACTTTCACCATATTTGCCCTTCTTCACCCAGCTCTCTTAATATCTTAATTTTTCACTTAGATGACTACTTCAGAATCTAAATTGGTCTTCTAACTTGCCTTCAATTGAAACAGAAATTACATCTTTTATTTCTGTGTCCTTGAAGCCCAACTTAGAACCTAACACACAGTAGGTCCTCCATAAGAGTATATTGAATGAATGAGTAAATTTTAGTAATATGGTATGGATACACCCAAAACTAAAATATCTAAAGTTGAATGTTTCCTCAAGTCAGAATTGGCAAAGCATAGCCACAAGGCTAAATCTGTCTATAGCTTCTTTATTCACTACAATGAGAATTAAGTAGTTGTACCAAATACCAGAAAATCCTAAAATACTTACTATCTGGCCCTTTATGGGGGCAGAGAGAGGGGGAATACCAGCTACTGCCCTAAAGCAACAACCTTATTTGTAAGTCTGACAGAAATTGAGAAAATACAAACCTGCAGAATGAGTAAAGACCTAGAAATAAGAAGTATGGAGTAAGGGCTGTGGGTATAGTTCAGTGGTAGAGTTCTTGCCTAGAATGTGCAAAGTGCTGGGTTGGATCCCCAGCATTGTAAAATTTTAAAAAAAAAATGTATGAAGGTATGGAGTGTAGTTTACCAAGGTCTGACTGACCACTGTTACCACAGGGGGAAAAATTCCCCACTCTGTATAGGGGGAGAGCATATGGATGAATAATACATTATTAATAAAAATAGTTATTGTGTATCAATGTATTAAATAAGTCCCATTTGATTTTCTTAGATGAAAAATTGTTGCAAAAATGAAATTCAGTTTGCACTTTAAAAGATTGCTACAAATGAGGTTTTGGTTTACAGGGCAAAACATAAAGGAAGGAAAGCACTATGTGATATTGAGGCAGCTAGAATATTTTGGGCAGAACAACATAGAGAAGGGAGTGGTGCAGAGATTTACAGGGTCCCTCAAGGATGTGGATAAGTACTGATCTGCACTTGCATTCAGTGAAACTCAAGACTAGGGACCGGGAGACTCTCAAAATCAGTAGGCTGAACAATATCTTGAGCAGTCACAGTCAGAATAAGTTGAGTTTTTTTGTTTGTTTTTTGAGACAGGGTCTCACTACATAACTGAGGTTGGCCTCAAACTCACAATTATCCTGCCTCAGCCTCCTGAGTGCTGGGACCACACCCAGCTGGAAGTAGTTCTCAGTCTTGTAAACTATAATGGGAAAATGTATTCAGAAAAGATAGGGTATTCAGAAGGGAATTACTTTAGAAAATGGGCTGAATTAGCCTTAGATTAAAGACTGTTCTTGAACCACTGACAAAGTTTAAGTGAAACCTTAAGAAGAATGAAATGATTTCACATAACTTAACTGCATGTCAGAGGTAAGGCCAATAGAACTTAAAGAACTATAACAAAATCCAGCAATGTAAAATTCATTACATTTGGCATCCAAAGCAGCCAAAAGAGACAAATTTCTCATGCAGCAGAATTCCTAATGATTTACGTAGATACTTCACCTTCAAGGAGGGGAGAGCACCACTATTCACTCCTTAAGCGTGGGCTGTAGTTAATGACTGCCTTCCATGGTGAACAGTATGGAAGAAGAAAAAATGATAACTTTACCATGGAGAAAGCTGGCAAATGCTCGAGGCAGATAATTCAAGCCAACATCAACAGTCATAAACCATGTTGACAAGTATATACACTTGATACTACATAATTAAAATGACAATTTAGTGCTATAGTCTTCCCTCTCAATAACTCATAAGCCTTATCATGAAAAAAACATCAAACAAATGCAATAGTGCAAGCTCCTTCTAATGTATGACCAGTACTCCTAAAACTGTCAAAAGTCATCAGAAACAAGGGAAGTCTAAGAAACTGTCACTGCCCAGAGCCTAAAGAAACATGACAACTGGCCAGGCACCAGTGGCTCACACCTATAAGCCTAGCTTCTTGGGAGGCTGAGATCAGGAAGATCAAGGTTCGAAGCCAACCCGGGCAAATAGTTTATGAGATTTCATCTCCAAAATAACAGGAGCAAAATGGACTCAAGGTGTGGCTTGAGTGACAGAGCACCTGCTTTGCTAGCGTGAGGTCCTGAGTTCAAACCCCATCCCATCAAAAAAAAAAAGAAAGAAAGAAAGAAAAGAAAAAGTGCCAGGTACTGGTGGCTCATACCTGTAATCTTGGCTACTCAGGAGGCAGAGGTCAGAAGGATTGAGGTTTGAAGCCAGCCCCAGGTAAGTAGTTTGCAAGATCCTATCTCAAGAAGACCCTTCACAAAAAAAGGCTGATGGAGTTGTTGCTCAAGGTGTAGGCCCTGAGTTCAAACCCCAGTATCTCAAAAAAAAAAAAGAAAGAAAAAAACAAACATGACAACTAAGGGAAATATGGCATCTTAGATGAGATCTTGGGACAAAAAAGTGACAGATAAAAACTAAGGAAATTTAAAGAAACTATGAACTTTAGTTAATAATGTATCTATTTTGGTTCATTAGTTTTTTGTTGTTGTTTTTGTTTTCTTTTTTGGGGGGTTATTTATTCATTGTTTGGGCCATCTCTCTCCCACCTGCCCCCGCCCCCTCTCTCTCCCCCCCACTCCCCTTGCTTCATTGGTTCATTAGTTGTAACAAATATATATTAAATTTAAGATATTAATATGGACTAAGGGAGGGAAAAAGTATTTAAGGACTCTTTGTACTACTCAGTTTTTTTCTGTAAAATTTAAAAATCTGGGGGAATAAAGGAGAATGATGGAAGGGGTGAATTCAACTCTGCTATATTGTAAGAATTTTTGTAAATGGCACAGTATATTCCCAGTACAACAATAATATAATTTGAAAAAATAATAAAATAAAATTTAAAAAATTTAAAAATCTAAAAGTGTTCTAAAAACATAAACCCTGTTGGAAAGAAAAGATAATTATTGGTCATGCAAAGCAGCAGGAAAACATGATCCACAGTCAAGAGAAAAATCAAGCAGTTAAGTCAGGCCCATGAGCTGGGGCATGGCTCAAGTGGTAGAGTGCCTGCCTAAGCAAGAGGTCCTGGGTTCAAACATCAGTGCTGCCAAAAAAATGTTTTAAAAGAATAAGTTAATAAAATAGGCTCAGAGTTGGTAGCAATGACAGAATTACAGACCAGGACATTAAAATATTTATAAATAAGTTCTATTTGCTTGTGAATGTAAAGGAAAGCATGAACACAGTGAGGAGAGAAATTGAAGGTATAAAAAGACCCCAAAGAAATCTGGGTACAGTGGTATAGGCCTATAATTCCAGCACTTGGGAGGCTGAGGCAGGAGGATCATTAGTTCAAGGTCAGCTTGGGTTATATAGCTAGACCCTATCTCCAAAATAAATAAATAAAAATAAAAAGACCCAAATGAAACTCCTAGAAGTGCAGTGACATGTATATGAATTGAAAATGTCTTGAGCAGTATTAACTGAAGTCTAGATATACAGAAGGATGAAAGAACTTGAATAGCAAAAGCAGCTATTCAAAATGAAATATGAGAAAGCCTAAAAAATAATAAGCATCTGTGACATGAGACAATTTGACAATATTAAATTATCTAACATGAAAAATTAGAATCACACATGGGAAAAAAAAGGGTGGTAAAGAAAAAAAATTGGAATGGATGGAATTGGAGAACATCATTCTGAGTGAGGTTAGCCTGGCCCAAAAGACCAAAAATCGTATGTTCTCCCTCATATGTGGACATTAGATCAAGGGCAAACACAACAAGGGGATTGGACTATGAGCACATGATAAAAGCGAGAGCACACAAGGGAGGGGTGAGGATAGGTAAGACACCTAAAAAATTAGCTAGCATTTGTTGCCCTCAACGCAGAGAAACTAAAGCAGATACCTTAAAAGCAACTGAGGCCAATAGGAAAAGGCGAACAGGTACTAGAGAAAAGGTTAGTTCAAGAAGATTTAACCTAGAAGGTAACACACATGCACAGGAAATCAATGTGAGTCAATGCCCTGTATAGCTATCCTTATCTCAACCAGCAAAAACCCTTGTTCCTTCCTATTATTGCTTATACTCTCTCTACAACAAAATTAGAAATAAGGGCAATTGAGGGGGGGAGAGGGAGGGGGCGGAGTGGGTGGTAAGGGAGGGGGTGGGGGTAGTGGGGAGAAATGAACCAAGCCTTGTATGCACATATGAATAATAAAAGAAAAAGGGAAAAAAAAAAAGAAGGATGAAAAGAAAAGAAAAAAAATTGAAGAAGTTGGGTAAAATGTTGTATGCCTGTAGTACCAGCTACCTGGAGAGGCTGAAGCAGAAAGATAGCTTGAGCCCAGGAGTTTACTAGTGGGCATTTTTCCAAATTTGATGAAAACTATAAATCCATACATTTAAGAAGTTCAGTGAAGCAGGTACATTTAAGAAGTTCAGTAAAGCAGGTGTGGTGGCATATGTCTGTAATCCCAGCTACTTGAGAGGCTGAATCAGGGAGATTGCCAATTTGAGGTTGGCCCAGGTAAAGGTATAATACCCTATCTCAAACAAAAGGGCTAGAGGCATGGCTGAAGCAATCGAGTGTTTGCCTAGCATGTGTGAGGCCCTAGGTTCAATCCCCAGTACTGGGAGAAAAAAAAATCTCAATAAATATATTAAAAATATAGTATCTTAAAAAGAAATCACACCAAGCCCTAGCATAATCAAACCAGTAGAAGTAACAAGAAGCAAATTATAAAAGTAGCCCCTAGCCAGGTAGATCAAGCATGTAATCCTATGTATTTGGGAAACTGAGATCAAGAGGATCCTGGTTCAAGGCCAGCACAGGCAAATAGTTGAGACCCTAGCTGGAAAATACTTAGTACAAAACAGGGCTGGTAGAACACCTGCCTAGCAAGTATGAGGCCCTGAGTTCAAACCGCAGTACCGCAAAAAAAAAAAAAAAAAGGAAAGAAAACCAGAGGGTGATATTGATATTGCATAAAATAGGCTTCAGAAAAAGAAATATTAATGGGAACAAAGTCAGGCATTTTATCATTATAATGAGACTGAGTCACCAAAAGATCATAGTAATCCTAAGAATGTATTTATCTGATATACTTAGAGCTTCAAAATACATAAAGGATGTTTAGAATTGTTATGACCTTTCGGTGACTTAATTAGTAAACAAGACTTCATCAAAATTAAAAACTTTTAGCCAGGCACTGGTGGCTCACTCCTGTAATCCTAGCTACATAGGCAGCTGAGATTGGGAGGATTGCATTTTGAGGCCAACCTGGGCAAATAGTTTGTGAGACCTCATCTCCAAATTAATCAGAGCAAAAACAGGCTGGAGGTGTTGCTCAAGCAATAGCATGCCTTCTTTGCAAGTGTAAAGCCCTGAGTTCAAACCTCAATCTCACAAAAAAAATCTTTTTTAAACTTTTGTTCCTTGAAATACTGTTAGGAAAGTGGGGTGGCGGGGTGGGGGGGATGTGGGGAACAGGCATGTTGGCTCATTCCTTTAATCCCAGTACTCAGGAGGCTGAAGGAGGATCGTGAGTTCAAGGCCAGCCTGGACTATATATGGAGACCCTGTCTAAAAAAAAAAAAAAAAGAAAAGAAAAGAAAGAAAGGAAAGGAAAGGAGGAAAGAAAGAAAAAGGCAAGCCATAGAGTAAGAAAAAATATTTTGTTTTTTGTTTTGTTTTGTTTTGTTTTTTGGTGAGACTGGGGTTTAAACTGAAGGCTTCACACTTATAAAGCAGCTGCTCTACCACTTGAGCCACACCTCCAGTTGAGAAAAAATATTTTTCAATAACTAATTTATTCCTTTACAACTTAACATTAAAACAATCCAATAAAAATGTGGGCAAAAGAATGAACACACTTTACTAAAAACATATATGAATGGCAAAGAAGCATATGAAAATATGCTCAATAGGATTGGACATTGGGGTTATACAAATTAAAACCACAATGAGATACTTCGTATTAAATAGTTAAAATTTAAGAGTGACAACATTTATTAAGAATGTCAGGGCAGGGGATGTGAACAGGTACCACCACTTGAGGGGACAAAAAAGGCTGGTAGTTTCTTAAAAAATTAAATACACATTTAACATACACTCTCAATCCTACTACTAGGTATTTGCCCCAAAGAAGGTAAAACACAAATATTTGTAAACAGATATTCATACAACTTTATTCATAATAGCCAAAAACTGGAAACTACCCAAATGTCTATCAGTTGGTGAATGAATAAGGCAATTGTGATGTATCTACAAAGCATGGTTATTGATGCATGAAACTAGTTAGGTAAATCTCAGAAAGCATTATGCTAAGTGCAACATGCCAGCCACAAAAGACTATAATGTATGATTTTACTTGAATGAAAATTTTGAAGATACATCTAAGGTGAAATAAAGCAGATCAATGAGTGTCAGGAGGTAAGGGGTATAAAGAAGAAATTGATTGCAAAGGAGCATGTGGAAACTTTGGGGGGATAGAAATTGCCTATACAAATATGGAGATACTTACATAAGTACATATGTTCGTCAAAACTCATCAAATTGGGGCTAGTGGGGTGACTCGAGTGGTAATGCACCTGCCTAGCAAGCACAAGACCCTGAGTTTAACCCTCAGTACAAACAACAACAAAAGCAATAAGAAACAAAATCTCATCAAACTGTAAACTGTGTGAAAATACAAGTAAAATCTGTGAATTTTACTGTTATACTTCAGTAAAGTTTATTTTTTTCACTGTCAATTACCTAGAAAAATTGTTAATAGGGATAGATTTGTGATTTTAATAACATCAGTAACTACAAATAATAGTAGTAATGATTCCATATGAACTCTATAAAAACCTTATTTAAAATTTTGTCTCTATAAAGATTTTTATTTAGAATATTATTTAATGTTCTTAAAATGCCATTTGTTTCTTTTGTCCTTCTTAGTCCTCTGATATCTGCAGGAACACAAAAACTTTAGTGTCCTTGTTATTTATTGAAATTATCAGTTTTTTTAAGAAGTGTGGAAGATCTCTGAACAATCATCTAAGATATTATACTCTATATTATGAACATTGAGCACTAGACCTGTAAAGACCCTATATATGTACAAAGAGTATGAACAGAAACCTTATGAGCTGGGGACATAGCTGAAGTGGTAGAGTGCCTGCATAGCAGGCAAGCTGGAGACTCTGGCTTCAAGCCCTAGTATAGAAAAAAATGACAGAGAGAGAGAGAGAGAGAGAGAGAGAGAGAGAGAGAGAAATCTTCTTCATAACAGAGAAACTCCAGAGATTCATATTGCTGGTTTAGCAAAACACTATAAAGTGTTGGCTGTTGCCACATTTGATATATCAAACAAAATCATAGGCTAAGTGATTCTAATATCAGACTCATATATTTACCAAAGTCATATATATTTTTTGGCAGTACTGGGATTTGAACCCAGGGCTTTGTGATTGCTATGCAAGTAGGTTCTCTACCACTTGAGCCACGCCCCCAGTCCCAAAGTCACATATTCTTTTTTTTTGGTGGGAACTAGAGTTTGAACTCAGGTCTTCATGCTTACAAAGCAAACACTCTACTGCATGAGCCACTTCTCCAGTCCTCAAAGTCATACATTCTTAGATAGTAGTAACAAAAGAAATTCAATCATACTAACTAGCCTCCTTTTGGCGAAACTCCAACCTTCCTCCTAACACAGACTCTAAAGGTTCGAGAGGAGGACTCACAGATGAAACATAGATGAGAGCCCTAGGAACCAACAGGTCCTCCTCACTGGTACCTGGAGAGAGAGTGGACTGCATTTCCCTCCATGCCATGTACTGGATGGGACCTTTGAACTGGCCTAGGTTCAGCTTTCTGGAGATAAGCTGTCTGGGTGTCAGTGCCCTCATTCCTTGTTCCAAGCTGCAGGGGACATAAATCATTTATTCTTAGATAGCCTCCAGTGACTGAAGGAAGGGTATGAAAAATACTATAGGGAAGCACTTACCTGTCCAAAAAATTGTTGATGTCCTAAAAGAGGAAAGGAGAAATAGAGAAGTCAGATGCCTGTTCACCAACTCCAAAACCTTCTCCAGTGATTCTGAGTAGCACCAGAATTTGATCCCCAACAACTTTTTTCATCTTCCATATGCTTTTTCTGATCTGCATCCCCAATCTAATCCAAGATAAACTGGCTTTGCCTTGCTCTGCTGTACTAGAATTCCCTTTTATAGGGAATAAGAGAGAAGCCAGTAAGACAATAATTAAGATTAAGCTTTGTTTTACTCATATTTCTAAGTAGTCTCAGAAGAAAAACAATAGATATTCCAGTCCCAAGGTCACTTTTTCTTACTCTGGATAATTTTAAGTACTGAGGTAATAACCAATATAACTTTAGAGGGGAAACTTCAGGCAGCATAGCTTTTTGAATACATCAATTTATGATTTCCAAAGAGCCAAAAATTCAACACAGGCTGAAAATTTCATATTTTTTGAGAAATAAAGCTTTAAAGTTCTTTATAGAAAATTCTGAAATTATTAATACCTAGTGTTATTAATGGGGTTTGTTATCTCATTTTCTAGGAGGATGAAAGTAAACTTTCTGCTGTGTAGCCACCTATGTTTCCCAGGGCTGGAGATGTGGCTCAGATGGCAGAGTGCAAAGCCCTGAGCTCAAAGCCTTAACAAAAAAAAGCACTGAAGTTTTGTCTGTTTTGCTTTCCCCTAGTGGTGAAAAACCACTGCTACATCCCTCCCAGCCCTCTTCCCCCATCTAAGTGTGTGCATAATCTTGTTGGTGTGGAATCTCACTTTCAGGAAGTCGAAGGAGTTTTGCTGTTCCATCCGTGTCTGAATGCTCTCCAACATGTCTTTGGCAAGGAGACACTGCTCCTGAAGCTGGTTCAGATTCAGCTCCATCTCCTCACTCAAGGCTTTCCCCTCTTCCTGGAGGTCATTTAGAATGTCCTTTTCTTTGCTGTGCAGGAACTGATGCAGCTTTAGAAACTCCAGGGAAATGTGTTGCTGCAGATGTACCTTGTTTTCCTGGAAACCTCCATGAGCATTACCATGGTCATTACTGAGACTAGCATTTGGGGATGGGGACCCATACCACCAACATTAACACACCTTGGGAAATACCATACAAATGGCCCCTTAGGAGACTTATTCCTTCTTTCCTAGCTAGCTTAATAACTCAGCATGAAATAGTCAAAAGTGGTTTCTATGTTCTTGTTTCAGTACTGGTATAGTAACCAATGATTCATTAGATAGTACTGTAGAGCTAATCACTCGAGAATGATAAATACTTTCCTAGATTGATAAGCCAGTATCTACCAAATGGTGCTGTTACACTAGAGCCAGAAGGAGGTTGGGAGAACTGTCCTTATCTAGAAATCAGAACTGAGGGATGCCAGTCCTGCTGCCAAGACAATATTAAAGAAAGAGGATATGTGCAATGTCTAAAGCACTGAAATTGGTAACTACTACACTTATAGCTCTTTTCGCAGGTGGCCATAATCTCCTCACAGGTGAACCATCTGATATCCTAGCTTCTCAGTTCCTCATCCTCTCCATTTCTAAGAATTTACAGCTTTTTTTCCACTCAGTCACACTAGGATTTTATTATTCCCAGTAGTGCAAAATAACTTTTTATGCTTCAAGCTCACCTACTCAGGTATCCCTGTTGCAACAATTATTGGGTCTCATTGAAACTTTATGGTAATTGAGCCCTCCATTTCCATTCATAAACTTCTACCTTCATGTCCCCTATTTGTTTATTTATTTATTTGGTGGTACTGGAGTCTGAACTCAGGGTCTCATGCTTGCTACCACTTGAGCCACTCTGTCAGACCTTCATGTCCACTATTATCCAGCTTGGATTCTATGGTCCATCATTATTACTTGCATTCTTAAAATAGCTTAACTCCCTCTCTTCTATAGCTCAAACTTTTCCAGTTTCCTTTTCACCTCTCTCATCACTAATTTTCATATGTTTTTTGCAGTACTAAGAATTGAACCCATGGCCTTGCACTTGCTAGGCAAGTGCTCTCCACTTGAGCTATGCCTCAGCCTCTCAATTGTTATTTATTGGTTTCACTTCCTCTAACCAAGCTCTCAATATTATAATCACATGATATTCTGTCCTACATTCCTTTCTACATTTTCTTTCTAGGCAATATCCTTCTACCCCACGGCTTTAAATATCATCTAATTGTGGCAACTTATCTCCAGCCTAGACCAACTTCTGAGCTCCAGATTCCTAAAATTAACTATCTATTTGATAGCGCCACTCACCCCTCTAGATAACTTCTATCTCCAAGTAATATACTCAGGCTATTTATTTTTCTGCATGTCCACTGTTTCTCTAGTCCAAGCCAGTGCTTGGGACCACTGCAGTAGTCTTCTAATCATTGTCTTTGTCATGACTCTTTCCAACCCAGTCTCCACACAGCTGCCAAGAGATACTTCAAAATGAGATGAAACCATGTCCTTTATTTCTCACTATTCACATGATAAACTTCAAAATGCTTAATAGTATCTACATGAGGGCTTACATGATTAGGACATATCTGCCTCTTCAATATAATCTTGCTTAGCATGTTCCAGCTTTGTTGGCATTTTTTCTGTTTAACACAGCAACTAACTTCCTATCTCAGGACTTTTCCATGTACTCTTTCCTTCTTCCTAGAGCATTCTTCTCCAGGCCCCTTCTTTCATAGTCCCCTCACCCAGATCTCTTGCTTAAGTTACTTATCCTTCAGTTCTCAATTTTAATAAATGGCTGATTTCAGAGCATACTTTGCCCTCAGTCTAGATCAACTTATCCATATGCTTTTACCATGCCCTATATTTTCATTTAAGTACTAATCACAGTAGTTATTTTATTATTAACAAGATTATTTAGTATCTGTCTCCCTCCTTCAGAATCTAGTGTAATGTCTGACCAACTCAATAAATTTTTTTTGAATGAATATTGACTCTAATAGCTAGTCTAGGAACTCTTATAATAAGAATAAAATTCTCTGGAGACATCATTACTTCCATCCATCCTTCTTTTCCTAAGCCTATATATTTCTTTTTTTTTTTTAACTTTTAAAATGTGTTTGTTCACTTTATTGTGTCTGCCATTTATTTTGTTGCTACTCCGACTTTTCTTTTTTTTTTCATTTTTCTTTTATTATTCATATGTGCATACAAGGCTTGGTTCATTTCTCCCCCCTGCCCCCACCCCCTCCCTTACCACCCACTCCGCCCCCTCCCACTTCCCCCCCCCTCAATACCCAGCAGAAACTATTTTGCCCTTATCTCTAAGCCTATATATTTCTTTTTACAGGTGACCAATGTCAGAGAAGGTTCTCTTGCATAGAACAGTTAATGAAGAAACAGAACTTCTAATTTAGCCCTCCAACCTAGGTACTGATTTGACAAATCTCTCAGCTGTTAATGTTGTTCTAGAGTTCCTGTGGAGTTGAAAGTATATTTTATTTAGTTTGGGGGAAGCTAAGAAAGATCAAATCAGATGAGAAAAGCATGCAGCTTGAGAAATCTTGGTCCACAGGTGCCTGGTTATAAACCCAGAGGAAAGAAAAGTACTTCTTTGGACATAGCAATATTTAGTGAGTGTTTCTGGTAAATCTCTTATTTTGCCATAGATAAAGTGAACCATCAGGGCTGGGGGCATGGCTCAAGTGCTTGGCACCTGCCAACAAAGCATGAGGCCCTAAGTCCAAACCCAGTACCACAAATAAATAAATAGGGCTGGTAGTGTGGCTCAAGCAGTAGAACACCTGCCTAGCAAGCATAAGACCCCAAGTTCAACCTCCCACTACAGCCAAAACAAAAAAAAGGATTAATATATTAGGAGAAAAGCCAATCTCTCTTGTTTGTCAACTATTGGGAATCTATTCTACCAACATTTATCTTTCCACCCTACAGTGTTAGTTTTCTACTTCTATAGCAGGTGCCATTTAGTGTATTGATAATGTATTTATAGGCCCCTTTGCACCTATGTGGCTGAAGTCACAAGCAGGATGATTCTACTTCTATCCTATAACCCCTCTATCATTCTCCTCACCTTGGAATCAGCAATTACATCCTTCTGCATGTTTTTCAGAGACTGAAGTTCCTTCAGGGTAGACTCCAGTTGACCCTGATGAATGGCAAGCTCCTCCTAGGAATACCAAATAGAATTCACCAACTTGGGAGATTTTAAAGACCATGAAGGACATAAAAGCCCCAGAGAAAAATTAAGTTCTTGCTGTCAAAATCTTTGCTTTCCTTTGTATCATAGTTCCTGTCTATTTCAAGATTGTGAATAGGGCTGGGAATGTAGGTCAATGGCAGAGCACTTGCCTAGCATGCATGAAACCCTGGACTCAATCCCCAGCTCTACAATAAATAGCAAATAAAGAACATGGATAGGCCAGATGCCGATGACTCAGTCTGTAATCCTAGCTACTCAAGAGGCAGAGATCAGGAGGATCTCAGTTCAAAGCCAGCCCTGGGTAAATAGTTTTCAAGACCCTATCTTGAAAAATTTGATCACACACAAAAAACAAAGGCTGGCGGAGTGGCTTAAGCAGTAAGAACACCTGCCTAGCCTAGCAAGTGTGAGGCCCTGAATTCAAACCTCAGTGCTGAAAAAACAAAAAAAGAATGTGGATAAAGTTATAAACAGCAGAAAAACTTAGTTTGATCTCTGATTAGCTAGCTATAGGATTTGAAGAATGTCATGGAACTCTATGTATTTTCACACTAGATACAGTTCTCACCATGTATACTTTTACTTATGCTTTTCTCACTTGTTTTCTTTCTACTGCCTATCCAAGTCCAAATGATATCCTAGCTCAAGTCCTATCTCTTTCCTTCATCGCACATTCCCTGACTTCAGCTTTTTCCAGTCCTCAGAAATTCTAAACGCTTATGAATTACAAATTCACATTACAAATGTGATAAAATTTAGCTCTCAAAGTGAACTATCTCATATTGTTTCTGTCATTACATTCATTTTAAACCTGACCAAATTTTGAGACTTTTATAACAAGAGCAATATTTTACACATCCGTAGTCTACGGATGTGGTTGAAGGAGTTGGCCAGAGCTCCTCACTGCTCCTTTCCTAAAAGCAGCACCTGTAGAGAAAGAACTTTGTAAAACATGTTGTCTTTCTGAGCACTCTGAGATTTGTCATTATTTGGTTTGGGTGTTTTTTAGCGGCACTAGGGTTTGAACTCAGGGCCTAACATTTGCTAGGGCCTAACTGATTAAGCCACTCCACCAACTGCCATCACTACTTGAATAAAGGGGTGAGAATGGAAGAGAGAAGAAGACCTACAAAAGATTTTTCTAGCTTTCCTAAGGGATTGCTCAAGGCCCAGGGCACACACACCGTAAAGAAACGGACAGCATCAGTGATTTGCAGGAACTCCTTAGACTGCCCCATAGACAACCGTGCATCCTTGCATTGGAAGCAGATCAATTTCCCATCTGGCTTGCTGAACAGTTTCAGATTCTCTCCATGCTCTGGACACTGTGGATTGCCCTTGAGCAGGTGTAATTTCTTAATCTTCTCTACCAGCTTCTCCAGCACAAGGTTGAATGTACAGTTGCTATATTGACTTAGCCTCTTACACTCAGGACAAAATGTTTCCTTTGCTTTCAACTTCCAAAAGTTTTGGATACAGGCTTGGCAGAAGTTGTGGCCACAGCTTAGCATCAGTGGATCATGAAACCAGTCATTACACAGTGAGCAGTGTAGCTCCATAGTAATATCTTGTATCACCACTTTAGAGGGTATGTGGATGGCCAAATCATTTACTTCAACATAGTTGTCTGGATCGATGTTGGAGGAGGGTCTGGAGGATACCTTTGGAAAAGAACAGCTTGAATGAGTTTCTCTTTCTTGTTCTGTTTCAGCACTCCAGCATGGAGCATTCCAATTCCTAAAGGAGCTGAGAATTGATGCAACTAGAGTAAAAGCACCAGAATATCTCCTTTGAAAATGATCCAATAAATTTAATGTTTTCTAATATCATAGTTTATGGTACTACTTAAGAGAGAAAGCAAAGCAGGGGAAGAAAGAGTTTGCAAACAAAGAAATGTATTTTATTGAGCATCCTTCTCTTCATCTATCTTTCCCATTTATCAGCTGAAAATTTTACTTTCAATTTCTGGTCTACTAGTTATTACCCTTATTTTTGTTTCCTAGCAATCATGTACAAAGAATTGGAAAGTCAGTCAGATTCCTCAGTCAGTGACATGATACCATCAACAATCCAGGCCCTCCCACATTCCTTTAAAAACATATTATAGTGGGAATTAGTAGTGCAGGTCTATAATCCTAGCACTAGGGAGGCTGAAGCTAGCCTGAGTTTGATGCTAGCCTAGCTACAAATCAAGACCCTGTCTCAAAAGAAAAAAGAACTGGAGATGTGGCTCAAGCAGTAGAGCACCTGTCTAGCAAGCGAGAGACCCTGAGTTTAAACCCCCATGCCACCAAAAAAAAAAAAAAAAAAAGTGGGGCTGTAGGGATGTAGCTCAGTGGTAGAGAACTTGCCTAACGTGCAAAATCCTGGATTCATTCTCCAGCACAGCAAACACACACATTACAGAAATATCAATACAGAAAAATGCAAAATCATAAGTGTATAGCTCACTGACTTCACAAAATAAGCACACTTGTAACCATTATACCAAATAAGAAATAGAATATTACCAGCATCCAAGAAGCTCCCATATGCCTGTTTCTAGTCACCTCCCCTCACCAAGGTGGATCTTTCTTCTGACTGCTTTGTATTTTATATAAATGCAGTCATGAAATGTGCACTCTTCTGTTCCTGGCTTCTTTTCAACATTATATTTTTGAGATTTATCCCTATCATGTGTAGTAATCCATTTATTCTAATTTCTATATAGTATTCCATTATATGAATATAACATAATTCACTTCTCCATTCTACTATTGACAGACTTTGGGGTACTTTCCAATTTGGAGTTATTAGGAATAGTGTTGCTAAGACCATCCTTGTCCATGTTCTTTGAAATTGATATATAGATATGTATCGATATATATGTAGATATATATCTATATCTACATATATAGAGATATATTTCTCTTGGGGGTAAATTAAAGAATTAGCATATACTCAGGTTAGTAGGTATTGCCAAACTTTTTTTAAGTGGTTGTATCACTTAACACTACTACCAGTGTTGTTCCATATCCTTTCAACACTCAGTATAGGAATATTCATTTTAGCTATGAATGTGCAATAGTATTTCACTGTGGCTTTAATCTCCATTTGCCTGATAAATGTGAAGCCCACTTCTTTATGTCTATTGTCCATTTTCAGCCCCGCTTCTGTGGTATGTATGTTCAATGCACCTATTTTATTGTTGGGTTTTCTTTTTGTTTATTCACAGAAAAATTCTTCATATATTCTAGATATGAATTCTTTATCAAATGCATGTATTACAAATATCTCTTTCTACTCTAAGTCACCTTTTCACTTTGTTAATGATATCTTTTATTGAACAAAAGCTATTAATCCTTAACTTTGTGTGTGTGTGTGTGTGGTGGTACTGGGGCTTGAACTCAAAGCCCCACACTTGTTAGGCAGGCGCTCTACCACTTGAGCTACTCCTCCAGCCCTTTTTTCTGTTGGGTATTTTCAAGATAGGGTCTTGACAACTATTTTCTCATGCTGGTTTCGAACCACAATCGTCCTGATTGCTCCCTCCCGAGTAGCTAGGATTACAGGCATGAGTCACCAGTACCCAGCTAAACTTTTTTATTTTTAAGTGCAACATATCTGGTGGAGTGACTCAAGTGGTAGAATGCCAGCCTGGGTGTGAGGCCCTGAGTTCAAGCCCTGATACCACCAAAAAAATAATAAGTCCAACACAAATACAGAAAGTAGTAGAAAAATGTGTAGTTTAATAATGAAAGACAGGACTGAAAATAGGTAGTGTATATGGGGGGGGTACTAGTGAGGGGGAGATGAATGAAGGAGAGTAAGGTGAGAATATATGGTTGATGGACTTCATATACTTATATGAAATAGAACAAAGAAACCTCTTATAATTGCTTTTAGTGGGGCAGGGAGGGGGTCAAGGGGGAGAGATGGTAGAGGTGATCTAACCAACATACAATATAAGCCTAATCAGAATGGTCACAATTAATTCCCCCTGTACATTGAATATATCCTAATAAAAATTTTTAAATGTGTAGCTTACCGAATTATTAATAGGTAAGCAGTCAAGAAAAGAGACAGAACCTTGCTGGCCATCCCAGAAAGTCTCTACATACTCTCTTATATCACCTATATGCCCCTCCTATTCCTGAGATGACTACTGTCTTAAATGTTGTCTTAATCATTTCCCAACATCATAATTTGGGTTTTTTTTCTTTTCTGGAACCTCACATATGCTAAGCCATCACTTTTACACTGAACTTTGTCCTCATCTCCAACTTTATATTTTAACACATTTGCCTAAATGATATACTGTTTCATTTTGCTTGGTTTGATATTTATATAAACAAAATCATATTTTATATATTTATATTTATCTATCTCTGTCTTGTTTTCCTCATCGTGTTTGGTCTACTCTTCCCTGTGTTCTATCAGTTACAGATTTAGTATTTTTATATATACTTTGTAAAAAAAAATTGGGGGGGGGTGGTCCTGGTCTTTGAACTTAGGGCTTTGCACATAGTAGGATATGCAGGAGCTCTATCACTTGAACCACAACTCCAACCCTACTTTATAAAATTTTAATAGGATTTTGAAAAGGATTTCAAAAATCCTATTAAAAGGATTTTCAATAAGATTTTAAAGGACAAGTATATGCAGGCTGCTTTTGATGAAAGCATTTAAAGGCAAAAGTACTGGCCACAGCAGATTCAGGAAAGGAATAACAATAGGCAGGATAAGCAATAGATTCTCTAAAAGTCTTGGGAAGAAAAAGTTAGAAAAGGAGATTCATGGCAGAGTGAGCGCTTTAAAAAACTACTGCAGGCTAGGTGCAAGGGCTCAAGTCTGTAATCCTAGCTTCGTGGGAGGTGGAGACAGGGAGGATCATGGTTCAAGGACAGCTAGTGCAAAAAGTTTGTGAGGCCCTCCATCTCAACAGGCATGATGTCATGTGCCTGTTATCCCAGCTATTCAGGAAAGCACAAATAAGAGGATCACTGTCCAGCCAGCTGGGCATAAAGCCTATCTCAAAAATAGCCAAAGGAAATCTCACTACCTCAAAAATAAATTAAATAAATAAATAACCAATGGAAAAAGGGCTAGCAGAGTGACTTAAGTGGTAGGGTACCTGCCTAGCAAGTGCAAGACCCTGAGTTCAACCCCAGTACTGCCAAAACAACAAACAAACAAACAAAAAATGCCTATATTTACCAGGTAATCAAACTCACACATGTGCCCTTGTCTGGATGCATGCTTAAAAAGATCTGAGAATACCTAAGCTTTCACATGTGGCTGGCATTCAGGCTCCACAATGGGCAGGAAGTAAAGACTAAGGCAGAGCTGTAAATAGCCTGGGTAATTGTGAAGGAGCATCACAACACATAGCTGATTGTCAAAGGCTTAGTACTTTCTGTCATCTTCTTCTTACCTCCAAGCATTTGAAGAAATTGTCAAAACCCTAGCTGACCACTGTGCTAATGGAATACAGATTTCAGCGGCCACATGTGACAAAGATAACAGACTGTACAAAAATAGTTCTGAAAAGTCACTAAGCAGGAAAACAACAAACCTCAGGCATAGTAGGATCTTATTTCCAGAGGTGCCACATTATAATATTCAAAATGTCCAATTTTCCACAAAAACGCATGTCAGGAAACAAGAAAATATGGCTTCATTCACAAGAAAAAAATTAATAGGAATTATTCTTAAAGAAGCCCAAGCGTTGAATCAGACCTACTAGATAAAGAATTTAACTCAGTCATCTTTTTTTTTGGCAGTATTGGGGTTTGAACTCAGGGACTTGCACTTGCTATGCAGGCACTCTACCACTTAAGCCACACCCTCAGCCATAAATCACCCATCTTAAATATGCTCAAAGAGCTGAAGGAAGCCAGGAGAACAATGTCTCACCAAACAGAGAATACTAATAAAAAGACAGAAATTATGAAAATTTAAAATATGGAGCTGAGAATACAATTCACTGAGGAGAAAAACATATGAACAAAAATAAACAACCTGAGAGATTTTGTAAGGTGCTATCAGCCTACCAATTTATACTTGATGAGCATACTAGAAAGAGAGAAGAGAGAAAGGTGCTGAATATTTGAATAATGGCTAAAAACTTCCCAAATGATGAAAGACATGAATTTACACATTTAAGAAACTGAACAAACTCCAGGCAGAATAAACTCAAAGAAACAAGAGACCCACAAAAAGATAACAGCTATTTCTCTTCAGAAAACATGGTGGCCAGAGGCAGTGAGATGACATATTTTTTAAATGATTAATTTCATATTACATGAATGTTACCTTAGTTTTTTAAAAGTGAAGCCATTTGACTCCAGAGCAAGAATTTTTTTTTTTTTTTTGTGGAACTGGGGTTCAAACTCAGGGTTTCATACTTGCAAAGCAGGCTCTATGGCTTGAACCATACCTAGAGTTTGCTCATGTCATTTTGGAGATGGGATCTCATGAACTCTTTGCCCAGGCTAGCCTCAAACCAAGATCCTCCCAATCTCAGACTCCTAAGTAGCTAGGGGCCACTAACGCCTGTCCAAGAGCCAGAATTTTTGTATTTAACAATAATGTGCTTTGCAAAATACTATATTAATTATATAATGCCTTCTAAGAAAAGCTACTATTTGAATTTAATCTCAATACCTAGGGTTCTGTAACT